TATGGTTGAATCAGACAGAAAACGGAATAGGCAAAACTAATATAAAAATTGTAGTAATACAAAGAGACAAATCACAGAGTTACATTTAAATATGATTGATATTGTCATTTATAAATTTTTTGAAGCAGAATTATAATATAATAAATGTTTGCTCTGAATAACTTTGTCAGCCAAAGTAGTACTTATGTTTTTCAAAAGTGTGTTTATTGTTATTATGATGCGTTTCGCTAAAATAAAAGAACTTTATTTTCAAGTTACTAAGAATTTCCTAACCAAACTTTTATTGTTGATAATGTCAAAGCATTTCTTTCAGTGTAGTGTTTCCAACAAGCTGGTTTGGGTGTAGCACAAATCAATCTGTAATAGCACCAAGAAATCCTACAGTTCGTCTGTTGCAGTTTGTGACACACACACAGTTTGGTTTGTGTATTCCCCAAACTTAGCCGTTTGTGGATACTACAACCGTGGCTCATAGATGGCGCAGGAAATCCTGTAAATTTTACAAGAATATTTTTCCGTGTATATAAGTTGTTTACAAAGAATTCTCTCTGCTCATTAACACTGAGAAAACTGGATAGCCAAAGTTAGAGGGTTAGGTTTTAAGTGTTAGCCTGATTCTCTAGATAGTTAACTTTTTCCTCCGAGATAGTCACCTTGATCATCAAAGTATCTACTTATCCCTCCGAGATGGTTACCAAACATTTAACCTCAAATATAGTCTGTTTGTCCCTCCAGATAGTTTGTTGAATACTCCATTTTTCTTTGTGCATTATTGAAAAAGTTAAAATTAACTTTTAGGAAGTTAAAGTTAACTACTGGAAAAGTTAAAGTTAACTTTTATAAAAGTTAAAGCTAACATTTGAAGAAGTTAACTATCTATCAAATCTAGTAAAGCCTCACAATGTAGCTGAAATCATGTGATCAATTCACTGAGTCAGAATGCCAGACTGCTAGTGCAGAAGCTTATGACTGTAACCGTTTTTAAAGAATTCTGTGTAAGCATGAACTGTAGATGCAAAAGTGTCATTAGTCAATTTCTTTCCAACAACTCAAGTAAAAGATTTTAGATGGTAACTGTCACATTAGTAGACAGAGTATTAAAGTTAACATTTAGAAAAGTTGAATTTACTTTGTAGAAAATTCAAGTCAACTTTAAGAAACGTTATATATATAACTTTTTTACATTAATATTTTTAAACTTAATAAGATGTATTCTTGTGACAGTGGATGTCTTCATGCAAATATTCACTGATCTTTACGTGAATAATGACGTTGCCTGAGGAGACAACTGCATATTGTCTCGTTATAGATGATCGTGTAGTACAGTACAAACCAATCATTGGGATTATTAAGAAGTTATAAGAAGTGGTGAGGAGGATGAAGTGGAGAGGTATGTAAGACACTCTCCTGAAGTAGAAACTCATTTCTATTCTAAAATGGAGTTCATAGTAGACGTTCAAGGTTTTAAAAAGCCCTGTAATGAAGTTATTTTTAAAGAATTGGCCATAGTTCCTCTGGAGACAGATGGTCAACCAAGAGGTTACCTCTTTGAACCACCTTGTGCTTGGAATTCACTACCTGGACGTTACAAAAGTGAAAACCTGTGGTTAACAAACAATTATCATTCAATCCCTTGGGTGGCTGGAGATGTGTGTTACGATGAAGTGCGAACCATTTAACAGGATGTATTATGAGGAGCAAAGACTATCTATGTTAAAGGTTGTGAAAAAAAGCAGTGGTTAGAAAAATATTTAATGAATGTACACAATTTGGAAGAAATTGACTGTCCAGCGTTTAAGAATATTAAAACTGAATTTTTTACCACCCACATGTACACATCATATTACACAAACTGAAAATTGTGCAGTAAATAATATATTTAAGCTTCGAAATTGTTTTTAAAATGTACAGTACCGTCCGAAATTGTCAGTCCACCCATTTTCAAAGGAATGACAAAATTTTTTTAACATAGAATTCATGAAAAGTAAAATTTTTTTTGGTTTATATTTTGAAAGACGATAAAATTTTGAAAAGAATAAGACCTTACAGAAGTCATTTGGCCAAAATTTGTAGAAGATATTCTTAAAAATCGTCATTTTCAATGTTTTACAAAAATTTGAATAACTTCTAAAATAATGAACGCTTTTTAATAATCTTAGGCTTATTTTAAAGACCATTTTCTACAGAATAAGAATTACTTATAGGCATTAACCTGTCATTTTCAACTTGGAATAAGCATGACGTCAAAGTTGGACAAAAAAATTCAAAAAATTTGAAATAATATTATTAAAAGAAAAATAATTTTTGAAATTCAAACATATATTTTTATTAAATTTTCTTGAAAAATCTACACCATATCATGTTTTATATATGTTCTAGAATAGTTTTTAGTACAAAAAATTGATTTCAAATTTTTCCAATTTTTTTGTCCAATTTTGACGTCATGCTTATTCCAAGTTAAAAATGACAGGTTAATGCCTATAAGTAATTCTTTTTCCGTAGAAAAAGACCTTTAAAATAAGCCTAAGATTATTAAAAAGCGTTCATTATTTTAGAAGTTATTTAAATTTTTGTAAAACATTGAAAATGACGATTTTTAGGAATATCTTCTACAAATTTTGGCCAAATGACTTCTGTAAGGTCTTATTCTTTTCAAAATTTTATCGTCTTTCAAAATATAAACCAAAAAAAATTTTAGTTTTCATGAATTTTATGTTAAAAAATTTTTGTCATTCCTTTAAAAATGGGTGGACTGACAATTGCGGACGGTACTGTAACGAGTGAACTGAGAAACTTCTCATATGGTATCGATGAAGTGGATGATGTGAATACTAATTTAAAATCATTTTATGAAAATTATGAAAAACTATTGTAATATGTTTCAATTTCTGTATACATTTGAATAAATGAATTTTATAATTTTAAAAATGTTGCCTTTCTTTCTTTGTATACCTAATCCTTTAATACTATATAATTGAAAAAACAAATTTTTTTCCTTTAACTTTAATAATATTTTACTTATACAATGTTATACAAAATTCTATTAATTTAAAAATTGTTTAAAATATGAAGGTAGAATAATAAAAGAAGCAATTTAAAAGTAATTTTTTTTTTATTATTATTATAAGCCTTTAAATATTTAAATAAATTTTACGGTATAATCTTATAATATTTATTTTTATTCAAATTCAATAACATTAAATTTGCCACCAATATATTTTAAACGCAACTTCTCCGATTGCACGGCTTCTTCCATCATTATGAAGGAGGTAGGGTCAGCTTCAAATAGTTTTGCGAACCTTGCCGGCAGAAAAGTGGTAAATGTAGCATCCAGGTCTACTACAATCCTAGAACCATATTTGGTCTGCACCTTGTTTATTTTAGTTACGTTGTATAACTCATTAACTGTCAACTCAGAAAGCGGCTTGGCTGGCAGAAATCTCTCCATGCGACCAGTGGCGTTGACTTTTTGGAAGTCCATTGTTTTAATATCTGTAAGAAAAGAAAAAAGATGGATTTTTAATATTAAATTTAAAAAACTAATTTGGAATACAAAATGTTTCAATCAAGGAAGTGAAATTTACGTACCAAATGAGTAGATGATGCTGTAGTTGTTAAAGCTGCTAGTATTGCTTATGTTGCTGTAGATGTTAAAGCTGCTGGTACTGCTGATACTGCTGAAGCTGCTGCTGCTGGAAATTTTAACAGAAGTGTCGAATCGTTGATTCCAACCCACCTTATATCCCTTAAACCCCACTCTTCTTCAACTCCCACTCTTTTACCCCCACTTTAACGACTGCGCACGCATATGGGGCTGTAGTACCAGTAAAGCATGCTTCAAGAGTCAGACGGACAGGTCTGACGCATAAAACTTTCACTCACTCAACGCGGTAACCGTACGCGCACTTTCGCTGCGCACTGGGCCTTACCGCACCACCACCCACTCCCACTACTCACAACGCCTGCGCGGTATCTCGCGAAAGCTTAATCCTTCGCGCTTCTCTATACGATTTTTGAAATTTCTGGTTTGTACTAAGTGGGTGGTGGTGGGTGGTAATATTGGAAATATATAATGGAAAAAAGTCTAAAAGGGTGAATTTTGCATAAAATTTAAAAAGGGAGGGTGAAAAGTGGGTGGTATGTGCATATTCCGCATCCAAAAGGGTAGATAGTAGGTGGATTTTGCATAAACTAAAAGGGTTAACAATGAATGTTAAATAATAAACAATAGAAAACGTATGCAAATTAAAAGGGTTAACTAATTTAAAATATATGCAAATTAGGTACCAACGCTCAGTAACTTTGCTACATATTTAAATATATGCAAATTAAAAGAATTAACTAATTTAAATATATGCAAATCAGGTACCCCACCAACGCCGGTAAATTACCCACATATACTCCACCAACGGTCAGTAACTTACCCTCGCGGTCAGGTAAGTAGGAATCTACATTACCGATAAGTTCCAGAACCGGCCTAGCTATACTACTTCCGTCCGACTTAAAATGTAGATAGTGACTTTCTTCGTCAGTACGGCAGTATTGTGTCTGCTCACAAATACCCTGGGTTATGCATTGAGAATGGAGACTCGTTTGTAGGCTTGGAGAGCATTTTGTCTTGGTCGGATAGCGACCCAATAACATCTTCTAAAAGTTTATTAATTCTTCCTCACCTTCTTTTACAAAATGGAACACAAACCTATCTCGCTTTACGTTTAAAACTATTTTATAAGAGAATTTTAGCACAACTACGCCTATCGAATAAATTCGTCACAACAATTGAGGGGCTGGAGGCTATAAATGTATTAAATTTATTTATTAGAAAAAATGCTAGGTCAGGGTGCATACCCATAAAAAATAAGTTTTAATTTAAAATAAAAGAATTTATAAAACTGTAAACTAGTTGCTTTGTTTAAAAATTAAAATTTTACTTTTGTTGCACCGAGAACAGAAGTTGTCATTTTGTTATTAAAAAATAGTTTTATAAATATTTGTTACAGCATTACAGATGGTCTTGGGATCATTTTATCAAGACGAAGTTACTCTTGAACCAAAAGATGTAGTTTCTATATTGGCGACTGCAACCCTTTTTCAACTTCAAGGTCTAATTGATCAGTGCACGGAAATAATGATCGAGACCTCAAATATCAAGACTGTAGTTCCTTATTACAATGCTGCCGTTTCTTACGGAGTGTCTCCTGTAAAGTCTGCAGCAAAGAAATGGTTGGAAGTTAATTTGTTGATATATGGATGGTTGCATCCAAGTTTTCTGAGAGAAATTACTTCGGAACTGATGACTGAACTTATCTCCAGTCCTGGATTGGTTGCCATGCAAACTGAATTTTGCGTTTACATGATGCTACGAGTATGGTAAGCTTTCAAGACATCTTTTCTTATGTTAATTATAAAAAATTAGTGACCGACACTTCTTAATAGATTAATTATCATTCTTAGTTTCTGAATTTCTTGTCTTCAACCCTCATACGGTTTAATTAAATTGCAGAAATCGGTACCAAAATGGTCCAATTTACCCTGCATAGAAAATTTTATATCTCAACAGGCTTTAATAGTTTTTTGGGTCGCTGATTACGAATACGGTGTCTATTTTTGAAAATTCAAAATGGCGGATTCAATATGGCGGACCTTTTTCAAAAAAATTTTTAATTCATTGGATTCGCTTGAAAATCGTTACTCGGGGGTTTTCGGGGTCGCTTATTATGGATCTGGCATCAGATTTTTAAAATGGCAGATACAATATGGTGGTAACAAATTTAAGAAGTTGAGTTAAGCTTCTGGAAACATATTAGATACGCTATATTGAATTTTGAAAATCTGATGCCAGATTCGTAATAGTTTTACGAAAGTGCGTGATCTCTATCCTTTTTCAACTTATATTTTGTGTTTGCGAAGCAGTTGTACTTAGGCTTCTTAGGATTGCGAATATTCAACACACAATAGAATTTGCTTGGTGAACGAATTTCACCTTTCCGAACGTGGTTATGATGTAGCCGCAAGACGAGACAAAACGAGATTTTTTTTAATCTCGTCTCGTTTTGAAACGTCGAGACGAACAAAAAGTCTCGTCTCGAAAAAGTCTTGTCTTGAGTGTACCACAGGGTAAACAAGTTGTTTATGTCATGATCATTTATCTTCCTCATTTAAATTGTGTTATGAATATTTGCTGAAATATAAACTTTTTATATTTCAATTGCTTTATTTGTTATATATGGCAAAAGAATTGTTTCAAAGTTTTGAGATAAGTTTTTAAAAATTCAAAATTTTAATTTTTTGTTCAATATAAAAATAATTATTAATTATATAAATATTGGTAAAATGTATAACTGTCATTTTTTTAATAAGGCGTTTTTCCGTTAAAATAGTGAATCAAATTTGACATTTATTACATATTTTAGTACATTTTTGTTATTAAAGTATATGTTCAAAATAACAGTGACATGCCACGGACCTGACATGTGTGTCACAGTTAGAACACGTAAATAAATAAATAATCGAATAAATATTTTCTTTTCAATGTTCACACTTCAAAATAATGCCAGTAGAAGTCAATTAAAAATAAAATTTTGAGTTATAAAATCACGATTTCGTTAACATGTGTAGGTACAAAGTAATTAACAATTTAAAACATGAAAAAAGTGCTTGTGTATGTAGAATATCATTATAATAAAACTATTTTTATATGTAAAACATCTAATTAGATTTGTCCAACAAAGTACTCAAAAGATAGTCTCAATATTTGATCACGTAACAATTTCAGAACAAAATTTAAAAAAACGTGTGCCACGGACCTGACAATTTTTCCCTCTTTTCTTAATTTTCATTATGATAATGATTAGTTAATGATGTGAATAGTAAGTATCTTTAAAAAGAGACTTAAATTAAGTGATTTATGAAGTGATTGTCAAAAAAAATAATTTTATTAGTTATTTATCTATGGGGCCATACAAATATGACAGTTATTTGAAAATCACCCATATATAGCCACTAGTTAATATATATCGTAATTATTTATATTTAAGTTTAGTGTTTTTATTTTGTTTGACCGTATTAAATATTCATTTGTAAGATAATGAAAAGGCCTATTTTACTATTTGTTTAATAATTTAATAATTTTCCATTTCTGATAATAAAATTAATCTTTACAAAATAAGAAATTGATTTTATTGTAAGTAATTTAAATCTTAAATAAGTTTTATAAAATTGTTATTTGTAAAGTATTCAGAGAATAATTTTATTTATTAATTAAAAATAATTGGATTTTGACATATTTGAGATTACAATTTGTATAATCCCGTCTCGAAAATATTGAGTCTTACGGCATCATTAATTGTTTTAATTTCATAAAAATTATACTTTATTCAGGGTGTCTAACAAGTCAGGGAAAAGTCATGGAATCTCCTTTATTTTCTGGAATTTTAAGACAAATGATTTTATTCGTAGTTTTTGAAAAATAGAATACTAGTTTTACTTATTTTCGCACATTTTTTGTTACTTCTTAATTTGATACTGCGCACCAGTACCTAGTAACCAGTACAAAATATTCATCAAAAGCATTTGCATAGTTAAAAATAACTTTATTTTATTAAATTTGAAGAAGTTAACAATTTTCCCGAATCAATCTACACAAATAAAAAAAATATCTTAAATAAATCTCGATAAGCTCGTAAGCTTCAATGTATCGACAGCACAGCTGCCCTAATACAGAAACCTGCTTAATTTGAAAAATATTTTCGAAATTAATTAATAATTTCAAAATTATCAAAGAACTCAAAAAAAACGGTAGCATGGTGGGATACGATCCCACGACCTTTCTATTGCCGGTAGACTGCTCTGACCACTAAGCTACATGCACCCCGAGACTCTCCGAGCTCCTTGAAATATACTATCCCTTCCTACATTATTTAATGATAACGTAGGAAGGTTCTTAAAGATGGTAAGCCTAATTTTACAATTCATAGGCAATTATAATTGAAGGAAGTGAATTTATCATTTGGTGATTAAATATTAAATTTGAAGAAGTTAACAATTTTCCCGAATCAATCTACACAAATAAATTAAATATCTTAAATAAATCTCGATAAGCTCATGGGCTTCAATGTATCGACAGCACAGCTGCCATAATACAGAAACCTGCTTAATTTGAAAAATATTTTCGAAATTAATTAATAACTTTAAAATTATCAAAGAACTCAGAAAAAAACGGTAGCATGGTGGGATACGAGCCCACGACCTTTCTATTGCCGGTAGACTGCTCTGACCACTGAGCTACATGCACCCCGAGACTAAAATTAGGCTTACCATCTTTAAGAGCCTTCCTACGTTATCATTAAAATAATGTAGGAAGGGATAGTATATTTCAAGGAACTCAGAGAGTCTCGGGGTGCATGTAGCTCAGTAGTCAGAGCAGTGTAACGGCAATAGAAAGGTCGTGGGCTCGTATCCCACCATGCTACCTCTTTTTTCTGAGTTCTTTGATAATTTTGAAATTATTAATTAATTTCGAAAATATGTTTCAAATTAAGCAGGTTTCTGTATTAGGGTAGCTGTGCTGTCGATACATTGAAGCCCATGAACTTATCGAGATTTATTTAAGATATTTAATTTATTTGTGTAGATTGATTCGGGAAAATTGTTAACTTCTTCAAATTTAATATTTAATCACCGAATGATAAATTCACTTCCTTTAATTAACTTTATTTTATTTGTAATAAAATTAATAAAACTAGTTACATGAGCCTTAACTGTCGCTTATTTTTAATCTAATTAATAAATTGGTTTATATTAAAATTTGATCACCGACAGATTAGCTCAGTCGGATAGATGTCTCGCTTGGCGGTCGTTTAAGGACCAAGGGTAAGTACCCTTGGTTCGCGCCCATTTGGCTTGGTATTTTTCCGGCACGTGAGACAATCTGAGCGGGAGGTTTGACGTCGAGGTATAATGATGTGCACCGTCGATTATTGTCCGGTACACACCATTAGAACTCGACTGTCGATAAACCGGTTTGTTAGAAAATTTAAACAAAGGATAATTTTTCCCTCTTTTCTTAATTTTCATTATGATAATGATTAGTTAATGATGTGAATAGTAAGTATCTTTAAAAAGAGACTTAAATTAAGTGATTTATGAAGTGATTGTCAAAAAAAATAATTTTATTAGTTATTTATCTATGGGGCCATACAAATATGACAGTTATTTGAAAATCACCCATATATAGCCACTAGTTAATATATATCGTAATTATTTATATTTAAGTTTAGTGTTTTTATTTTGTTTGACCGTATTAAATATTCATTTGTAAGATAATGAAAAGGCCTATTTTACTATTTGTTTAATAATTTAATAATTTTCCATTTCTGATAATAAAATTAATCTTTACAAAATAAGAAATTGATTTTATTGTAAGTAATTTAAATCTTAAATAAGTTTTATAAAATTGTTATTTGTAAAGTATTCAGAGAATAATTTTATTTATTAATTAAAAAATAATTGGATTTTGACATATTTGAGATTACAATTTGTATAATCCCGTCTCGAAAATATTGAGTCTTACGGCATCATTAATTGTTTTAATTTCATAAAAATTATACTTTATTCAGGGTGTCTAACAAGTCAGGGAAAAGTCATGGAATCTCCTTTATTTTCTGGAATTTTAAGACAAATGATTTTATTCGTAGTTTTTGAAAAATAGAATACTAGTTTTACTTATTTTCGCACATTTTTTGTTACTTCTTAATTTGATACTGCGCACCAGTACCTAGTAACCAGTACAAAATATTCATCAAAAGCATTTGCATAGTTAAAAATAACTTTATTTTATTAAATTTGAAGAAGTTAACAATTTTCCCGAATCAATCTACACAAATAAAAAAAATATCTTAAATAAATCTCGATAAGCTCGTAAGCTTCAATGTATCGACAGCACAGCTGCCCTAATACAGAAACCTGCTTAATTTGAAAAATATTTTCGAAATTAATTAATAATTTCAAAATTATCAAAGAACTCAAAAAAAACGGTAGCATGGTGGGATACGATCCCACGACCTTTCTATTGCCGGTAGACTGCTCTGACCACTAAGCTACATGCACCCCGAGACTCTCCGAGCTCCTTGAAATATACTATCCCTTCCTACATTATTTAATGATAACGTAGGAAGGTTCTTAAAGATGGTAAGCCTAATTTTACAATTCATAGGCAATTATAATTGAAGGAAGTGAATTTATCATTTGGTGATTAAATATTAAATTTGAAGAAGTTAACAATTTTCCCGAATCAATCTACACAAATAAATTAAATATCTTAAATAAATCTCGATAAGCTCATGGGCTTCAATGTATCGACAGCACAGCTG